AAAGCGAGGCCTCGGCACGATCACCATCTGACACCGCCAGAGCTCGGCACTCCACCAAGTCAAGAACACACAAGGCACGGCATGTCTCCTACAATGGAAACCATATCCGACTAGACGCGTCAACAAGGACTCCCACGACCTCAACAACCTCGGGCACAGCTAGCACAGCGCGCCCATCAAGTACCAATCGCCATCCCCAACACCATGTCACTGAGGACTGAACTACAGTAGGCTCCACGTATAGCTCACTCATGTACTCCTGCCTCCCTCCTTGCGGTTATAAAAGGAAGCAGTCAGAGATAACTTGGGGGGCGAAAAAGGAGAAAGAGGAAGAAGACCTAGTAGCTCACACACATACACATCCCAGCCGCCTGAGAGCAACGTCTCAAGCAGCCCACACGACACCTCGCCGATTCCTAGGATTAGCTCCCTCTCTCCTGTGCTTGTAACCCCCTACTACTAACACTTCGGTGCAAGAAATATAAGATCGATCTGTCAGACTGGACGTAGGGCATCAATTACCTGAATCAGTATAAACCTTATGTCTCTTTACATCACCGTCTAAAATTAGGAACATACAATTCAAATTCACTAAGTGGTAGAGGACATCCGGTCCAAAACACCGACATTATTATCGGTGAAAACCGAAGGAGCGAATAGAGACAGCGACTGACTGACCTAATACATTGAAGGTAATTTTTACGTACATTCATAATTTATTATTGGTGAAAACCGAAGGAGTGAATAGAGACAGCGACAGACATCAGGTAATTTTTGTATGTTATCATTATAATTTATCATTGGTAAAAACAGGAGCTGAGAAAGACCGAGGTTGGCGTGAACAAGACACGGACAGAGAGAGACAGTGGTGGAGTGGAGAGAGACCGTGGAACCCCCCGATCTCACCCAAAAGAAGGAAAGCGAGTCACCCCCCGAGCCCCGAATCCCAAACAGAGGAGAGCACTGGGCGGGGCAGGGCGATTCGGCGATTCCCCTGTCACCGTCCGTCGTCCGTGGGGTGGTTTGAGAGAGGGAGAGGAGATGGCCGCCGCCGCGGTCTTGGCGCTGCTCACGGTGTCGGCGCTGGCGGGGGCAGCGGCCGGCGGTGATATCGTCCACCACGACGACGAGGCACCCAAGATCCCTGGATGCTCCAACGATTTCATCCTGGTAAGATGAGAAAGGCTTCGTCTTTCCCCAACCCCCACACCCACCCACCCTGATTGAGCAGCTGCCCCCCACCACTTCAGTTTAGTACTGAAATAGATTCTCCATTTCTTTCTGCTATATTTGTCAAGGTAAAAGTGCAAAGCTGGGTCAATGGCAAGGAGGACGGTGAGTTTGTTGGTGTTGGTGCTCGCTTTGGTCCAAAAATCGTCTCCAAGGAGAAGCACGCAAACCGAACTAAACTCACGCTGGCTGACCCTATGGACTGCTGCTCTCCTCCAAAACACAAGGTGGCTTTTTATCCAACGACAACTTCAAGTTATTTCAGTCTGTCTTCCAACTGCCTAGTGATTCTGTCCGCTAAATGCTTCATTCTCGTTCTAGGTTTCTGGAGATGTTCTTTTAGTTCAAAGGGGCAAGTGCAAATTCACAAAGAAAGCAAAGTTTGCTGAAGCTTCTGGTGCTTCTGCTATAGTAATCATAAACCATGTCCACGGTGCGTTTTGAGCGATGTCTTCTTTCCCTATCTATGACTTCTGGCATTGCTTCTTGTAAAAAATTGTTATGTATCATCCTAGCCATGTTCCTTCAACAACACCTTGTTAAAAAGATCATCTCGTATCAGTGTTTGGTTTCACTAATGCTATCATCCATTTGCTCTACAGAATTGTACAAGATGGTCTGTGAAAAGAATGAAACCGATCTTGACATAAATATACCTGCAGTTCTCCTGCCAAAAGATGCCGGTTCTGCTTTACATACACTTCTTACAGACGGTAATGCAGGTAAACTGTTAACTCACTGTTGTCACCAGCATTTTAATTTCCATGTGGAACATAAGGGTGTTAACAGCCCCTTCCTTCACCTTTATGTGGACTCGTCGTATTTTGGTTGTTTGTGCTATCTGAAATAGCTTGCCACGTACTGATTTATCCTTGTCTCTTCTCTTCCTTAGTTTCTGTGCGGCTGTACTCTCCAGATCGTCCTGTAGTCGACACTGCAGAGGTGTTTCTATGGCTTATGGCTGTTGGCACAGTGCTTGGAGCTTCCTACTGGTCAGCATGGAGTGCTAGAGAAGCAGTTATTGAACAAGAGAAGCTCCTCAAGGTTCTAATCTCTATGCTGTGACACTTGCTCCAATATAGCTTCAACTAAAAATGATGTACTGACAAATGCATTTATTGTTAAGGATGGCCATGAAGGCCTACTGAATGTTGAAGCCGGAGGTTCTAGTGGCATGGTAGATATCAATGTGGCATCAGCGATAATGTTTGTGGTGGTTGCGTCATGCTTCTTAATAATGCTTTACAAACTGATGTCTTACTGGTTTGTGGAGCTACTGGTGGTAATCTTCTGCGTCGGCGGTGTAGAGGTGCATTTCTAACTATCAGTTTACTTTCAGAAACATAATTCGTAATACATGTTGTTATCGTATTAGCTGCTCTTACTCTATTTCATGGTACAAGTACCTTGAAACGGCCTAACGGGATGGTCTGCAGTTGGTTCACTGAACCAAAACTACTTTGCTAATTGATTGCTAAGCGAACTGTTGTTGTAGTTAATCCTTTACTACTTTTCCATTCTTGAGATAAAGCCTTTGTTTTTGTTTATGCAGGGTCTGCAAACATGCTTGGTGGCTCTGTTATCAAGGTACAGTGGATTGTCTTCGGGGTTTGTTTCAATCAACCATTCTGTTCAAGACCCTTGACAGCCAAGCTGAATGTTTCCACTAAACAAATACTAATGTTGACTAAATTGTGGAATCTTTCAGATGGTTTAAACCTGCTGCAGAATCTTTTGTGAAAGTACCATTCCTTGGAGCTGTTTCACATCTTACTCTGGCAGTTTGCCCATTTTGCGTTGCATTTGCTGTTCTGTGGGCTGTTTTTCGCCAGCTTCCCTTTGCTTGGATTGGGCAAGACATTCTGGTGAGTGTCACCATCTGTAGTATTTGATGCCTCCCATTTTAGTTATGACATCAACTGATTCCAGACTCCGCACTTTCAGGGTATTGCATTGATAGTTACAGTCATCCAAATTGTCAGAGTACCTAACCTCAAGGTACTCAAACCGCTCTTGATTTTTGTCTTTCTGCTTTCTCTTGCTACAGCCTTTCTTGATAATAGTTGAGGTATGAGTTTTGTTTACTTTGTTGCCATGATCAGGTGGGTTCAGTTCTTCTCAGCTGTGCCTTCCTGTATGACATCTTCTGGGTGTTTATCTCCAAGAGGTGGTTTCATGAGAGTGTGATGATTGTGGTAAGCATGTGAAAGGGGATTCTGATATTTGGTGGGTCGATGGTATCCTGAATTTGCTGGTTATAACATGTTGGTTTCTTCTGATAGGTTGCGCGTGGCGACAAGACTGACGAGGATGGTGTGCCCATGCTGCTAAAAATCCCACGAATGTTTGATCCATGGGGTGGATACAGCATCATTGGTTTTGGTGATATCCTTCTTCCTGGTCTTTTAGTTGCTTTCGCGCTAAGGTAAGTCTAGTCTGCAATCTGGCTATTTTTTTCATGTGAATTCGAGCGATAAGTTTCCGTTGCATTATTTGCTGTTCAGATACGATTTTTCTGCAAAGAAGGGCTTTCGGTCTGGTTACTTTTTGTGGGCAATGGTGGCCTATGGCTCTGGTAAGTTTTAGTGGATGAACGTTAGTCCGCGCAGCAGGAAGAAGATGAACCATGGTTTTTTCCCCATGTGGACATTAACTGGCTATTTCTTCTGTGGCCACATAATCAGGACTTTTAATCACATATGTTGCGCTGAACCTGATGGATGGGCATGGCCAACCTGCCCTTCTGTACATCGTGCCCTTCACTCTTGGTAATGGACATGGCTAGCTTGAGACTCTATTGGATGCATATATATGTAGATTATGAACGTCCAAGCAGGCCATCGCGTTGCCTGATGTGTATTCGTGGATGTGTTTTGTTGGTACAGGCACCTTGATCGCGCTTGGATGGAAGAGAGGGGAGCTGCCAAACCTGTGGGCGAGGGGAGAGCCAGAGAGAGTGTGCACGCATATGCATGTGCCGCTGCTGCCGACGACCCCAAACTAACCAGAGGCACTGCTGGGTCAGAATGCATGCTCCCTGACCCTGCGTCGACGGTCAGTAAAAACCAGCATGGGTGCCACTGCCGTGACCTCAGTTCCTTCCGGCAAATATACTAGTAACTAGTGACTAAATGTGTTGCCTGCTGGCAATATATGGTCAGTAAGAAGTTGTATTTTGGTCGAGACATTTGACTGATTTGTGAATTACTAGTGATTATGTAAGCAAGTTGTATTTGATGGAGATACTTTGTTAGCTTGGTTTATATATCGTCAGTTTGGGTTATCATGCCTGTGTCTGATGTGTGTGTGATGTGTATATATATAATAACTAGTGTAGATGGCAACATGCCAATAATGTTGGTTGCCATATGCACTGTAGCAAGCAGTAATAAGTGCATCTACAAGTAAGACAAACAAAAGGATGGATAATATAATACACCCTTTGGTCCAAAAAAAAACTGGATGTTTTAGTTTTGTCCTAGGTCAAGTTATCTTAAGTTTAACCAAACCTATAGCTAACATTTATGACACTAGATAGGTATATATTAATATTTGGGTGTATAAATTTTGTCAAACTTTAGATAGTTTGAATTAAGACAAAACTAACTAAAACAAAGTTTTTTTTGGGACAGAGGTAGTAATGTATAAATTCCAAAAATTAATATAATTACAGTAGTAAATTAGCTTGGCTCCTTCCCTCCCCATATCGTCAATTGGAGTCAGCGTACGTCAGCAGCCATGGATATGATGGTTCGGTGAAGCTTAGCTAGCTAGTGGCGAGTCAAAGCATGCATCAACTGAACTGCTGGTTCATGGCATGGCGGCTTTGCCGGGGACGATGTCACCTCCTGCTCTGTCGACGGCGCTGGCAGCAGGTTGAGGTCCAGCTCCAGATTGATGTTGCCCTCCTGCAGCAGCTTGCTACTGTCTTGATCCCCCGTCCCCGTGGCGGTGACCACGCTCTCGAGCGTCGCCACGGCCGACGAGCTGGTGGTGAGCGGCCGGTGGCGCCTCATGTGCCCACCGAGCGCCTGCCCGGACGCGAACACCTCGCCGTATGACGAGCACTCGTGCGCCGGCCACGTCGCCGCTGCAGCTGCTGCGTCGGTCCCCGCTGCAGCTGTGCGCAGGCTAAGCGTGGTGGTGACAGCAGCAGCGGCCTCCTCCGGCCGTCGCGGCTGCGGCTGCTGCTGCTTCTTATCATTGTTGTGGCTGGTGCGGTGGCCGCCGAGGGCCTGGAAGGAGGGGAAGCACTTGTTGCACGTCTTGCACTCGTACGACACGCACACGCCACCTCCGGCCTCGGCGGCGGCGAAGAACCTGCGGCTCGTGCTCTTTGGCCTGCTGGCGGGTACCGGTGCCGGTGCCGGCATTACTCTTCCTGGCTCAACGGCGGCGGCGGGGCCCTGAGCGAGGAGGATGAGGCATTTGGCCATGTCCTCCTCCTCGTCTTCCTCCTACTCTTTCTGTGTGGTGGTGGTGCTGCTGCTGTGTGAGGAGGAGGATGAAGCGGCAGGCGACGAGCAGTGGTGTCGACGTCGCTTGCTGTTGCGCTGCGGCTTCAGCTTGGCGACGGAGGCGCAGGAGACGATGGCGCCGCCGGTGGAGTAGTCCGGGACCGACATCGGCGTGGTCGTCATGATAGATGAGCGCCTCTCTCTCCTCTCCTCTCCCTCCTCCTCCTTGAGCATCTATTATTATATACCTATGTGCTTGCAAAATAAAGGGAGGACTGTAGGAGAGACATGGATCGGAGATGCCGGCCGCTGGCTCCGATCCATCCACGACCAAAAATAACCCTGGTTTATAGGGATCAGGAACTGCATGCATGCAGATATACTGGCTCTTCACTCGTTGGTTTCAGTCAGGACTTATTAGCCAGCCAACAGTGTTTTTCTCTCACAACAAATCAGCACCAGTTGTGCTTATCAGCTCAGAAACCAACCAGCGAATAAGCTCATAGCAGTGTAATGAATAGGGTTCTGGACGGCTCCTCTTCTCTTTTTATAGCAACAACCAAGAATTAACCGGAGGGAGAGAGAGCCCCGATCGCGCGCGCCATTCATTCCAACACAAATAGTGACTACCTCTCACATATCTTAAACTAGTTGGATATCCCGCAAGTTGCTGCTGAAATCTTTTAGAAATAAAACTGTTGCATGTTTGAGTTGAATTATCTACATGTTCTGTACATTTTTTTTTGAAATTGTTGCATTAAGAGGTCGGAAATAGTGGGATGACATAGCTATTAGTGAGAGATGACGTGGATAGTTAGTGCAAGATGATGTGAATGGCTTGCATATTGAAATAGAACTTGCAATAGGGATTAGCTTTATAAGAGATAGATTGATGAAATCAAATATTTCGTTATTAACAAGCTCGCGCCATATACCACTGAAAGAATATAAGTTGTTCGTAATATGAAGACTTAAATCCGCATAGGCATATTCGGGTGCAAGGGATCTAACTAGTTAAAGCTAGAGTCGCTTCACGAATCCATTTCTACTTGATCACACAATTTAATACTTCCTCCATTCCAAATTGTAAGACATTTTGGCTTTTCTTGATATATTGATTTTGCTATGTATTTAGATGTACACACTATATTTAGATTAAAAAAGGCAAAACGTCTTAAGGCACAATTTGACTTGGTGTGGCCTTCAAGATCATACTTTAACCGTTAATTTATACTATTGTATGTAATTTATGACAACAACAAAGTATCATTAGAAAGTATTTGTAAAGACAAATCTAATGTTACCACTATTGTACTATAATTTTTTAATATTATTAGACTAATTATTGGTCAAAGATAAGAAAGTTTGAATTCTGAAATATGTGCATGCCTTATATCCTAAGATGGAGTGAGTATAATTTAAGTTTATAAGAAAACATAAGGCAATGAACCAATCAACCTACCGCACCCTGATTTCCATTCATATTTTTAGCTTTCTATATAGTCGTATAAGCCTTGCACAACCATCATCTCAATTGAATAACATACATACATAACATATGCTCCCTTTGTCTATTTTTAAATGTCGCTATAGTATTCGTGCTGATCAAACTTGTAGAAAACATTTATATCTCCAAATAAGTTTATTATGAAAATAAATCTAATAATCTATCTAGTGATAAATATTAATATTTTCTTATATATATTTGATAAAAGTAAGTAAGTTTAACTTCTTACTTCTCAGGTAAAAATGGACGAAGTGAGTATATAATAATAAAGAAGGTCCTGCTTCTTGGGGACGGCAAGCTCGCTGAGCCCGGGCTGTGGCGGCTGCTGGAGATGGCAAAGGACCTCGCCGGAGAGATGATTGATCCAGGCACTGGGGTGGGGTGCTTCCATCTCCAGCAATTGGGTCGTGAGTAATATACACACATTGACACATACATGACCACCCATGCCACGGCTTGCGAGCTACTGCTGCCAATGTGCAACCATGCATGTATGTAACAGCACTCAACAATAAAAATTAGAATGTTGTCAAAAAAAAAAGAGTAGTCAATGCTATTCAGCATAATAAGGATCTAACAAATATCAGTTACAATTCTTCCTTACTTTACTTGTCAGCAGCGAAATTACAAAAGTCAATGCTATTCAGCACCCGAAACCTCAAGAGTACCACAAGATCAATAACAATGTTAACATGACGGAACGAATGAATGAATGCTGGATTCCAAATTGCTACAGCTGCCTTGCTATCTCCTGGCAGTGGCTGTGGCGGGCTACAATTTTTTTGCTACAGCTACCTTGCTATTTCCTGGCAGTGGCTGTGGCAGGCTACAGATTAACGTACAACAACAGCAAATGGATTGTTATTGCTTCTAACCTAACTAAAAGAATCAATTCACAGTGTGAGGGAGCTAAGGCCTAGGTTGGACAGAGAGTATTGGTGCTTTGCACATCATAACAATCCGACGAAACTACTACGTCTTCTAGCTGTTCGATGCGGAACCCTTCTGCTCTCGCTCCACGAGCTACTATCAATCTCGCTATGGCAACTAAGAAGCTTTATTAAGTCTACCCTGGTCTGGGATTTCTCCTGTTGTCTCTTACACTTGTTAGTCTCCACCACCCTGTCCAATCTATCACAAGACGCTGGGGGAGTGTGAGCTCCAGCTCCAGTGCTTGATCTGCAGGTGCCAATGAAAAGTTGTCATTTAGACAACCAAATATATATAGAAAGATGCACAAAAGCAACTGAATGTAACGGCGCCCTACCATGCTAATGGAATATATATTTTTGTGTACCATGTGCATAATCATAAGCATGTGATCAAACAAATGCAAGAATGAAATGGCTACAAGTAATAATGCACATACCTATCCTCATCATGCTCTGAGCGTGCAAGCGATACAGATTTTTCACCATTATTTGGGTGGCAAGCAGGACAGAAGAAGGTTTCTGGAGGGGGTCCAAGCAAGTTGATGCAATCAAAATGGTACCACTCATCACATTGGTCGCATGCAATCATGGCCCTGTTATCATAGGGCTTACAGCAAATGCAGTAGAGGACACTGCGATCTCTCAGTAACTGCAATGAAATGTTGCAAGTGAGAAAATAACCCATCACCATGCATATGCTGAAGAAATAATGAGACCAGTATTATATAGGTGCATGCACCTTTAGTTCCTTCTCAAAATGTACAGAGAGATTTTCCCCTTCAGCTATAAGTCCATACACAACATCCAGTGCAAGCTCACCAGAATCACATGCAACCTGTATCACGACATAGTCAGGGGTATCAATAGTGTCATTTCCATCCTGGGAAACAAATTGTAGAAGAGACCGAAACCTCACCTTCTCTGCTTTTGCCAGCCACTGCAGGCTGGTTTCCTTTATTTTACTAATCTCCAACTTGAAGAAATCCTGATCGCATATTTCTAAATGTGAACCCTGAAAATATCAGTGCAGTCAGACATATCAGGGAAGATAGATTCATATAAATTGATGGTACAGAAATATACTGTGCGGACAATGATCTCAAGTGAATGTACCAGATCAGCTAAAGGACCAATCTTAAAATGCCAGCTGTTTTTTTTCCTTGAACAGGTCTAAGGGATTTAGGGTTCATTCCACATGTGGAACAAAATTTTAAACAGCATAATTCAATAATTTAATTTCCTCTGCATTTTTTTGATGGAAAATGGCAGGAGCTTTGCCTTGCATTTAAGTAGCAATATAAGTAGAAAAACAGTCTGATCAAGGCAGAGATGCTGCAGCTATGTACAGAACTACCTTAGCCGAGGATAAGCAAAACAGACTCAACACTAGAAAAACTCGAAAGTCCCATTACAGGTTTCGAAAAGCACGACGCCACTGTTCAATGTCTTCCTTTGTTCGTAGCGCCACCGTTAAAGGGCATTCATGTTGACCTAATATGTTTCCTCTGCATTTTAGTCCTCCACAATGGTATCAGGTATTACTCTCATTGGCGAAGGACCTAAAAGGGAAACTTCCACATCTCCCCACAACCCTACCCATTACTGAACACCTAGAGATGACCTTAAAAGACAACTCTAGTCTTTACACAAAATAAAAACTGTATTACCTCTTTATCAAGGCACAGTACTTCTTGCATCGATGTCTTTTTACCACCATACAAGAGTTTATGTATTTGTTTCTTCCACAAATATCTGCTCAACACAGACTCAATTCTGCAACTGATATAGTGATCATACAAGCCAGAAGCTGATGTCACCTACCAAACACAATAGCCAAAAAAATTAGTTACTCATAGTAAACAGCAATAGCACATTTATTAGTTATTTTAACATGCAAATTAATTCACAATTGGAACCATGTAATATCAATGTTTAAAAAAGCACTGTAGGCACTATGCAGGTGGTTGGGCCTCCACCTTGTGCCTAGGCGTTGCAGGGTGTTTGTACTTTTTGTGGGCTCATAGAGTAATACCATAGCGTATCAGAACAGAAAAAAAGGAAGATATCAACATGCATCCATAAATAATATGATCGAAGTTTATCTTTCATCATCTATAATTTTTCCAATTTTTTATACATATATCAAGTCCAAAACATCTCTAAGCGGGAAAAGGCTAGACAAAACGCCTGTCAGGCAACGCAGTGCAGCACTGCCCAGTGCCTACGGCATCGCCTTTTTAAACAGACCAAGACCAATGGCTTTTCAAAATGAGAGAAGTTTGATAATGATCACCTTGAGAGCAACTAAAAGAGATTTGAATATGACAGTAAGATCTTCTCCATGATAAGAGTCTGAATCATCCAGAATTTGCATCAAGTAGGCATTCAAGTTACGAGCCTTCTCGACAATTTCTTTTAGTAAATTAATTTCCTCAATCCTGTAGAAGTGAGTTTTAGTCGACCAGAATAAGAAACCTGAATCACAATTCAATGTTCATTTTCAGGAGAAAAAAAATTACCCAGTGTATAAACCCTTTGCA